TTTGAATATTGCCCTCAAAATATTATGTTTGTCCTTCGCAAAAAAGTTTTGATGGGAAAGAAATTGCAGTTAATTCTCAAGAAATTATTGTGACATAAATGGCACGTTACAACTTACAGTTCAAGTTCTTATAGTTAAGATTTCCCGAAAAATTGCCTATACTTTACTCCTAGCCTACAGCCTATTCAGAATCATGACCTCCTCCCCCAGAAATTAAACTTGACATTTATTTAAAAACTACTTGAAAACGTTGGTTGTTGTAAATAAAAAAAATCTGACGTCAAATCTGATACGCCAAAAAATGACTTCTACGAAATTAATTTTACTTATTTATAACAAACTATGATTATTTATTAAGATTAAGTATTTTTCCCCTTTTTAAACTTTAAACTTTTTAACCGAGCAACGGTCGTTGAACAAATTACGTATAACTGTTAAAAAAAAAAACATTGATAAATATTAAATTACAAAACAAACATACCGTTAACAACTATTTATCCATATTGCAGTTGTTTACATTTAAGTAATACTAAATTATTATTTACAGTATTAATTTAAATGTTTATACCGTATTATTATATCAAGTAACATCTAGACATTTCTAGACACGCAGTGCACTGCATACTACGCAGTATGTATTAATTAAAATATGTTGAAAAAGAAATAATAACAATTTGTAACAAACATTTCCAGATAATTATTGAAATCTATCGCAGTGTTAGTGTAGTAGGTATGTAAATTATAAGAATAGGTACAAAACTATTATTTCAAACGCGTGACGTTGGTTGCTTTCAATCACAAAAGCATACTGTACAATATTTTATCTCGTCTAAATGAGAAAAAAATGAATGCTTCCTGTTAATAGTAAAGTGGTATTAGTACATGTGTATACCGTTGTTCAATTAATCTTAGTTTTCGATTCTCATGTTTTTTTTTTTTTATAATTGTTCGAATTCTACGGTAATTGAAGAGCGTTTAAAAAGTCTGATAATAAAATTATAAGAATAACTACCGAATCGTTGATGATTTTTTTTATTATTTTTCGCTAAAAAACGCTTATGTTGTAAAAAAAAAAAACCATTCTCCACAAAGTATTGCGAGCTTTGTGTGTGTATTTCCTGTTTGTTGCGTTATTTTCTTAGAAGTTCGCCCAGCAAAAATATAATTATTTTCTATTATTTTTTTTATTACAATATAAACTAGGTTATTGTTTCCTTATGGTACTTATAATCATGAACTTATATGCGTTTATCCATAGATGTAGAAACGTTATAATAAAAAAAAACTCTATATCTGACGGATCTATTCTTGTTTAATCGTCATTATATATATTATATACCCACCAACATTTCGGGGCAAGGCTGACTTCATTAAGCGTCCACGAAATTTATTCAATTTTCCCATAAGATTTTCTAATTAAGTGTTACTAATTGTTGTGCGGTAGCCCATCCCGTTTATTTTAACGACCAAGGCGAGGCATCTAATCAAAAAAACAAATCACAACACGGAGATCAGGTGTACACACGTGAGGTGCATAATATAAGAATAAAAATAATTGGGAAACGGGAGTTGACCATTTGCCATGTGTACCGGCACATGAACGACCACGTGTTGAATGATGAACATAGGTTTATGGACGATGTCAGGTCAATTTAAAATGTTTTCGGTAGATTGCCCTATTAAGTCCCATTGACCCTTAATTTGGCACTTTTCCTACCACCCCCCCTTATTCCCGATGGATGCTTATTTGCTTCAATATTTGTACCAACGTCATCCAACTACTTACTTCTGCATAAATATCCTACAATAATTTTTGCAAAATTAAAATGATTAAATTTATCATCAAAGCCAACACTATAATATGTTCAGCATTTCGCCATTATTATTTATGCCTATTTATTTACACATAATAAGTTTTGGATTATTTTTTAAGTTAGTTCCAATAACTTTCACCTAACAACAAACGAGGGAAAAATAATAATGTTGTGGTATACACCCATTGAACAACAAGCGCCATCTTCACACAAAGTTTGGAAACGGTCCACTGTAATGGTAGATGTAGATAGCAGTGCAATACACCTGCTTGTATGATTTTATAATGTTTATAATTGTATTATCATTTGTATCTCTGTTTTTTTTTATTATAACAATTCAATAAAGTCCAAAAATTAATTACTTGTTTATTCGCCATTTTTTCATTGCTTTGATAATAATCAATGTGAAATACCGAGTATTACGATAAGTAAAAAATTAATCATAAATCTAAAAGATAGATGATTAATACAAATATTAATAATATACATATTTAAATTAATTAAAATTATTCAATTAATATTAACACAATTATTAACCGAACAAAATTAGCTGTTATATCATAGGTGCAAACATTTCTCTGTTCTATAATATCTACATCTACATAATAATTAGTGAATTGTGTGTTCACGCGGCTACAGAGTGATCTTAATTAGTTCAATTAATAGTATACAAATAAAGCATAGACCAGGAAAACTAACAGAAAATGTCAGTCGGATGTGTTTTAAATTCATTATTGCCTTCATTAAAAATTAATATACTACTTGAAAAAAATAATTGAAGTTTTATAGTATCAACTATTGGAAATAGTAACTATAAAATGTATTTCCCAATGTCTGTGTAATGTTGTTCTTGTATTGTTTATTTATATGATTACACTATATAAACTGAAATAATTCCAGAGCCTGTAAAAAATTGTATTAATTAATGTGTTGCCAACTATAACGCTTACATTAATATATTGATAATATATTTTGACTGTTTTTTTATGTAGTTATGCTGATATAACAATAATAACAATAAAACACTACTAAAATAGTAGGTAATAAGGAGTTTATGAACATTTTATCAACACAAAAACACTGTAATTGGTTTTAAAACAAAGAGAATCTCATTAGGCAGCTTAACATAAATTACAATACAATAATGTTACATAATGTTTTCATATAAATGGTTATTTCACTATATTATGATAGACATATCAAAGTGTTTCGTAGTTAGATAAATTGTTTGTTTTGGCACAACTCTGACTGTGGGTACAAAGAATGGTCTTGATAGTGGTCGCTATTAAAAATACAAACGACTTTTGACTGAGCAAATTCTTAAAAACTCTTTTATTGCACACATACATTTTGGCGCATACGTGCAAAATTTCTATTTTTAAAACAATTAAATTTTTATATAAATACATTATCTAATACAAGATTTAACCATCGTCGTCGTGATCTTCCCAATTCTTATCTCATTCATTATGTGTATAAATGTTAGTTTTGACATTTGACCTTTTGGAAATTATTTTTAAACTGTAGATGACTTTTACCCTTTTCGAAATAACCGATTTAAGCGTTGTGAAATGAATAACCATTAACAATGAGTATTAGATTATATGTAGATTACCTATGAACATTATTTTTTAAAGTAACCTATTTTCATTTTTATTAATTAAGCTAAGACGAGTGCTAAGTTGAATTAAAGATGTTAAGACATCATAATTCACGTGGTAAAAGTATAAATTATTAATAATGTAAAATTTAGTTAAAAATATAAATATTATAGGATAGTGTTTTTAGTATAGTTTGTACAGTTTTTACAAAATATATCGGTTTTATCTATATCGGCTTGTTTGTGTGTTAGAAAACAGCACACAGGAAATTGTTGAAGCTATTATTAGCTATTATTATAGCTCTTGTGTAGGTAACAGCTGAAAAATTAGTGCCGAGTGATTATTGTGTTTTTGCCAGTGTTCGCAATCACAATGAGAACTCTACTTCCGGTTACAATCAAACTTTGTAAAGCATCAGGATTTTTGACATCTGTAAGATACATATATAATAATATTCTTCAAATTTATATTATAGTCTCATCTTATATTGTATTATCATATCGGGTTTCTTAAATAACTACATACAATAATTTTTCTATTTTTTTACTTCACAGATTTAATTTTTAAAATTTTGAAACATTTAACGTGCTAGATAATTTTTGTCAAGCGAGCCATAATTATTTTTCTTAATTAATATAAATTATTTAAATATTTCTATGCGAAATTAAAAGGTTTTTCGTTTTTGCTATAATATGATTTTACTCATTAGTACAATAATGTATAATGATTCATTATTGTTGACAACATACTAGAAACGGATATGGTGTTTTAAGCAAAAACAAATGCTACAGACAATATTTTAAATAATTCTAAAATTACATTAAGTGAATAAAAAAAAAATAGTTATTTTTAAATTGTCATCCTAAGAACCGTCTAGCTAGCTTAAAATAGCATTAATGACGCTCTTTAAACAAATTTAACACCTTGTTTTGTGTTACACATGATATATCACTAATGAGAACAATTATATTATGACCGCACAACTTTTGTTTTCCGAATTAAATAATATAATAAAACAATGTTTTTTTTTTAATCTATTTTATTATTCGGTAATAACTGTGATAACAATAATAATTACCTATTGTGAAATCAAACCCAACGCACAAGTAGGTAGACTAGATAGGTAAATACAATTAAGTTTTTTTCTTTTGAGTAAAGGCTTTAGTTAAGGCACTACACACAATATATATATATATATATATATATATATTGATTGCATGTACTATAAATATGTTAAAATTCCTCAATTAGGCAAGTCCTACAGTATATCATAATCCACGCACATGTATTATTCCAGATGGTAAAAATATTGTAGGAATTAGAAATTTTCCAATTTCGAACGTTTTTACTCTGAAACGTTAACGTGCACTGTAAAATCAATTAAAACTCCATTAACGACCGTTAACCTCGGACGACCTTTGAAAGTAAGTAAGTCATTACAATGTTACAAAATTTTACACGTGGATATTTTCAAATTTAACATAGCATTTTATTAACATAATAATAATAATTTTTTCTCGACACACAAACAATAACTAGGTATTACAATATAATGGTAGGTAGGTATTAAAACATACATAATAATAATAAATCATCAATAATTATAATAAGTTTTAGATAAAAATTATAAATAAGTAAAATAATATATCTACACAAATTCGATTAGATTTTTTTTGACTCACATAATAAAAATGTCTATACATTTAATAATATTAACTACAATATCGTTTATATAGAATGATAATAGTAAAAAAATAAAAATAAAATAATAGTTAAGCATAATAATAGTGTAATATTTGTATATATATAATGCGTGCATTGACATACAAATGTAGATATAAAATATATATATTTATAATAATATTATAACGTGTACGACATTACACAGTGATTTTTTTCATTTTATTTTCCGACAACATAATATTTCTGTACAATTCAAGAACGACGGATGTAGTTTTTTGCCAATTCGGTCATGATTATTATTATCAACACTACCACGTGCTCGATTAATTTAATTATTGCCAATTAATATTAATTACATAATTTATAACTTTATTAAACAAAAAAAAATAATAATTTCCAAAAAATTGGTTTGGCACATTTCGGTAAAACGATAATAACATTACAATTATAATTATTTTTTTATTTATATACATAAAGCAGCAATGCGTTAAAAAAAAAAATGACTAGAAAATTTACGGTTTTATTTAATTTTTTTTTTTTTTACAAATTAAACGTTAGAAAAAAATTCAAAAAAAAATAACGAGGCACAACATAGTTTTTTGAAATAACTTAAAAAAAATGTTAACAACAAAAAATTGATCTATTTGCGTTTCTTTGGCATAGAAGATTGTATTTTATTTTTGTATTGCTGCTTTATCATATGTTTCCGTTATAGCGTACCGAATTTACTTTTGTAAAAGAGAATTTGTTTTGATTTTTTTTTTACTTCTACCGTAACGATGTATCTATCAAAAGAACACGACGAAAATTATTTTATACAATTTTTTTTTAAAAAAAAAAACGCTATGTAAAAGCATACAAAAAAAAACGTCCATTAGTTACAATTTATTAAGACGAAAAATAAAAAAGCAAACTCGTTCATTACCAATTAAATTATATAATTGAAATTTTGTATACGGCCATCTCAAAATTATCTTATGTTATTACAGTTGCTCAAGAAAAGGCTACGGGAGGAGTAAAAAAAAAAGTGTTGATTTCGCCGGATGGACTTTAATTTTTTTTTTAATAATAACAACAACAATAAAAGCGATTAAAAAAAACACAAATTACAATGGCAAACTAACTATAATTATAAAAAAAATCTAACCGGACGCATACTCGATGTATCAGTTTGTATGTTTATGTACACACAACAGATCAGTCTTGTGAGATGGCCATCTATGTAGTCTTTGATTTGCGCATTATCACTTTTGGTTTGGTGAAAAAATAAAAATAAAGGTATAATTCAACATAGTGTAGAACTCATAAGACGTGTACATGTATATATAAATAAAATAAATTGATTTTACGAATTTAATAATAATTTTTACACGGTATTTGTGATAAAACAATAGTTTTTTTTAAACATTATTTTTATATTCTATCCCAAATCCGAAAGCGGCGTAGGTGGTATAAGTTTGGTTTCCCCGAATATATATATTACTACTATTTTTTTATTATATATATAAAAAAAATAATTTAAAAAAAATAGTTTGTCAGTGTAATGAAATAATTATATTCTATAAAAAAAAAATGTACTTAATATAATATATTATGTTGACGGTAAAAACGACGATTTTCTCAAAAACAAATAAAAACTAATAAAATGATTTAAAAACACCTATAAAAATTCAAAGATTCAACGTATACTTGATGCGATTGCGATTGGGGGGGGGGGGCTTTTTGGTTTTTCAGAGATTAACTAAAAAAAACGGTGTTATTTGCTGCATGGCATTCACACGCGGTCATGCACGTCGACTAAAATATATATATGGTAGTTAACGATAAAAAAGGCAACCGACAATCTCCCTGCGCAATATCAGGCGTCGTTTTGTTGCGGCTTCTCTCAGTGTATCTCACGCCATCTGTAAAAGCAAAAACAAAAAAACAAATTAACAGACTGTAGTTGAAGGTCACTACTCATATGGATTACAATAGATAAATATACAAGTCACACACATCACAGACCTAGGCAATATTATATTAAGTAGCCAGCAGAGCCACCTTTATAGCCACCTAGTGTATATCTATATAGGCGTCTGCATGATGCGAAAACCACAAAGCGTTTGTACGTTGAACTTTGGCATTAAGAGGCAAGTATAGTGTATACATATCGTTATGTTATTCTCAATGAATCGTTTAAACGCATTTCACCAACCGTATCGGCCTAATAGGTCGTGTAATTTAAGAATAGTAGTGCAAAGGAATGCTACCGACGACGTCATCGAAGACAATTTTATACTGATTTAGCACTCGCCGAGTTTTTCAACGTCATCGTTACGCGCGTAAACACCCGTGTGTTTCTTGGAGGATGACCAAAAGTAAGTCGCAGAGCAGTAATAATAAATAAATTGGCCGAGATTTTGAAAATCTTTCTCAAAACGATGCTCTGCCGACGATTCTTTGACCTTGTATGCACGCAGAATAGTTCAATCCAGAAGGAACGCGGTTGAGATGTAAACAAAAAAGTGGCAGCCATTTTCTAAACCTTCTTTTATCTACGATCAGACGTTATCACTCGGTTAGGTGTTGATCGATTTACAAAATAAATACAATTATGTTAAATTAAACGAGAAAAAGAAATCTTATCGATTTTAAAACATTTATACTACGTGCATATACGGAAAATTAATATTTTGTGTTATACTATGATTCATTTATGTCCTTTTTCAAAAACATACAAGGTACTTTTTATTAGTTTTTAATCAAATGTATTTAATTGTGTTTAATAATAATTTTTAAAAAATGTATTAGCTATATAATTGAATATTATAATGGGGGTATTTTATTTTGCAATTATGGCATCACTGATAAAAAGGTTAAGAAGATGGCTGACGCGATTTTTCGTGATAACTACTACCAAACTCGTGTTAATCATTTTTTATCCAGAGTTATATTATCCAAGCTCGAGTACTTACATTTTAGCCATTACGTCGGGCGGTGATCTCACCAATACGTGTAAGTGTCATTTTTTTTATCCCGCCATACACTGCTGCACGAGTTCTGCTTGGGCTGGGCGCCGAAAAATAGCACGGGCTTCTGGTCGAACTCGGTCAGACTGGGCGGCGGGGAAGGCGTCGCGGCGACCGCCTGGCTCTGGGCGGACTGGTTGTTGACCGACAGACAGTAGTTGGCGCCGTCGTTGTTGTCCCAATGCTCGAATTCGCCGGCCTTGTAGCACACAGCGAACTCCATGGCCGCAGCGTCGCCGGGCAGCGGCAATCGGAACGAGAACGTGTCGTAAATGGCAGTGACGTTTTGCACCGGGCCGCTGGCACCGTTGGACGTCATCATGCTGTTGTTCTGCACGTACGAGCACAGGGTGTCTGCGAACGTGGTCCACTTGTCGTGCGTGCACCGGACGAACACTTCTTTGTCGTACGACAGGTTCCGCACCTTGACGGTGCCCACTATCCGGCTGTCTTGCGACTTGACGATCACGTTCTCCAGCGACACGCCGCTGTCGTCCAGCCGTTTTCTGAAGTCCAGGTAACTAGAAGCCGGTTGCGGGAAACGGAGCTGCCACTGTTCGGTCGACTGTTTGGACGCGGTCGCCGCCGACTGCGACACGTTCAAGTGATGGTTCAGGTACGGTGCGATGCTCATCGATTTTGGAGGTTGGTTCGAGGGTTCGCTCATCAATCGCACCTATCAAAAGCAAAACAAGCGCAATCGTTCAATAGACCGTCGATGCACAAACAACACCGCCAAGGCAATTACAGAGGGATGATTGTGGTTCCAAAAACAACCCCCACAACACGCCAACTCGCTGAACATATGACTTTATGTCAACATGTATTCGACAAGGGTTGCGATTTTCAGTGCTGCCACTTTAGAAAAAAACCCGTATTTATACGATAATTGGTAAATAGAATAATTGTGGTTGACACTACTTGTTTATCATTTAATGTTACTTGCCACCAAGATTTGACATAATATTACCTTAACTTGTACCTACTTGTCACAAGTAAATTGGAGGGTTCAGAGCACAAGTGAACCAAGTCCATCACAGCTGATTTCCATAAATGTTGCCATTTTGTGGTATTAAGATAAACTAAAGACTTGGTTCACTGTGGCACTGAGCCCTGCAATTACGGAAGCAGGTTGTCAAACTAAAAATCGCAATAACCTTTGCCGAAACAATGTTGAACGCAGGCTACACAGGGAACTGCTCCTTTATATTACTCTATAATTTGTGTTGAATAAAAAAAAATTGAATTCACTGTAGTAACGATGTGGTGGTTAGTTGTGGGCGTGTAAGATAGGAGATGTGTGAATATAAAAAGGCATTTGGGGAAAGAGAGGCAGGCTGGCTATTGTTTGGCAACCAACATTTTCGAATAATACAAAAACGTGTCAAACGTTTCCATAATATAAGATTGAATACTTTACAAGTTAAAATAAAGTATTACACTGATCTTACGAATACCGTACCACAAAGAACAAATGTTACGTGTCGTACTCATACTGCGTTAGTATTTATAATACAATAACAGCTATAGTTGGAATAAAGTAGGAAATATTCGGTTATCGGTAACTCGGTTGCCGTTGAACTCACTTGGGTCAGGGACAGGCCTCGGTCGTCGGCAAAGACGACTTTCTTTTTCCTTCTTGTCGGGCTAGGCGGTTCGTTCTCGTCCGACGACGAGCCCGAAGACGAAGACCCCAAGCTTCCGTCCGAGTCTATTCTGGTGACCAAGCACGGTCGTCTTGGCTTTATCTGGGGTGTGGTGGTGGTGGTGCTTTGTCTGTCGTCGCCGATGGATGAACAAGACGGACGGGCGTTGCTGTATCGGCGCACGGATAACGGAGACTGCTGCTGTGTCATGACCAGCCTCAGGTTCTGGTAGAGCACCGACAGTTCCGGCGGAGGGGTGTGGGATGTCGAGAACAACGGCGGGCTGTGCGCCACCATCACGTCGCAACATTCGGCCAACATGTTTTTTGTCGTTGTCGTCGTTGTTGTAGGCGATGGACACGAGTTTTGGTACCTAGGCGAACAAAAATAACAGCAGCGAAACACCACGTTAGTCCGGTGACAGTCTCAAGACACGATTTTATGTTCATATAATATAATATGTTTATACATAACAGTGATGTATGTAGACTGTGGACGTATTGTCAAATGGGCTTGCCCGAACTACCCCTAAAAGTGTCGGCAACCAAATCATCAGTTGTGACTGACTGAGGTCGTGCGCCGCCACTTATTAATGACGAGGCTCTACACGTTATTAACAAGGAGTGCTAAAAATGCTGAATAATCATACAGAAACTAGCACAAACAAAATCATTAACATGTGTTGTTAATACCATATAAAATATATAATATTAAATATAAACCCAAGTACGGAAGATAGATAAATAGGAAAAAAAATAAATTGAAATAATTATCAACATTATAATACATAAATACTTTTAGCAGACTAGGTATAAGAGTATTAATCTCACTAAACATTTCATGCGGATGGTTCAGTAGATTTGAAAATTTAAAAGCACAATGTAAAAGCTAAAGCTCGTATACAAAGCCAACTTCATAATATTTTATGTTTTATATATGAAAATAAAAAACAATTTTAAAAATAACTGTTTAGACAAACATATTATTAGCAAACTTATTATAGGCTTAATTGGATATTATACGTTAATTTAATAAAATCCCAACTTTGTTCGGTTTCGCAACTTTACATTTTTTTTCCAAATAGTACAAATATCTTAGGTAAAACAGATAGTAAGTAATTAAAAGATAACCTACAACTTGACATCTCCTTCGGACGCCATCATATCTGCTACTCCTTGAACTGTGACTTAAGGTCGAGTCGAAATAGCTACGCAAGGTAAAAAAAAAAAAAATAAGTTACAGAAACAATCAGCTAATCTGATAGAAAAATTGTATTCCCTTTCCGGATGATTACTGAAATATAATAATAATAAAAAAAAAAAAGTAAACAGTGTAAAATCATACACTATGGATTTCGGTCGACCAATTTATTGATAAATTAAAACCAAAGTGCGGACGACCTATTGTGTATGAAGACGCCACTCGGCCGGACTGCCGTTGTTAATCTACTAGAGCTCACTGATTCCTTCCATCCTATTATGTATTGACAAATACATTATTTCCTTACACACTAATGATAACGCTATCACGTCAACGAGATAAAAATTACAATTGTCGGATAAAACGCGGAACAGATCAGATCGGCTAACGACCAGTTGATCTAAATGTATTTTTTTAAACTACTTTAAAAATTACAAAATTATTATAACGCTGACATCGAGATAGCTAGATAGATAAGCAACGCAAAAACAGCCCCGAAAATATCAAGGCCATGCACACAGTCCATTTTCAACAAAATATTAAAAAATCTAAAAAAAAACAACCCCAAATTTTAAAACGTACATGCAAAACATACATAGACGTGCATGCATGCAAGCGAGACATCATTATTTGTTTTTAAATACACATTCGCGTAAAAAAAAAAGGCATATTATATAAAAAAAAATAATAACATTTTTATTAAGAGCATTCGTGGTTACCGGTCGGAGGAGGTGACGTTGCTTAGGCAAAACTAGACAGGCGTGTGAATTATATATATCTATTTCGTTTTTTTTTTTATTATTATTTTCTGATGACACACGAGACAAGAAGAAGAACAACAACAACAACAGCAAGAGTGCCGTCTGGTGTCCGGTGTGTATCCTGCTCACAGAGGCGGAGGGCCGCCGTGTCCGGAACCCAGTGCCGTGTACCGGACACGCATCGTGGACTTCCGGTGGTGCTCGTTCATTCTCAAACACCACCACCAAAACAACAACACCCAATCTGCGACCTGTTGAAAACCGACCTCGAACATTTAAAACGGCAAAAAAGAGTAGGTACACAACAATACACAATAACAACAAAGCTTCGCCAAAGCCGACCGCCGCCGTTTAGTCGTTAATAGTATTATTTGGTGGATTTTTTTGCCAACGCAATATATAATTTTTTTTTTTTTAATAACATAATATCGTACCGTGATTTAAAAAAAAAGAATGTACGTTTCTGTGCCAGAAAAAAGAGCAAACATCACTCGCTCTGTGTCACAGTCTCAAGTTTTTTTTTTACACCTCTTGACCACAGTCGATCCCTCTCTTTCTCGCATGTGATCTGGACTCTTCTCTCATTCAAGACGGACATAAAGAACGCGTTTTTCTTAGCGTGTTGCCCTTCACCGCGGCGGACGTGGCCAAAAATATAACCGGGACCGTCGCCAAACGATTTTTGGGACGCGAATATAAAACGAAAATATTTGCCGCTTACTTAACACAAAAAAAAAACACAAAGCTCGATTATTATTATTAATATTTTTTTCTGGTACTAAGACATAATAAGAGGACTGCGCACGCGAAGGCCGCCGCCAGCGCTCATCGACCAGACTGGTTTTCTATTATTAAAATTATATTTCCGTTTACTGAAATAATCGGCCGGTACAAACACACACACACACCGAATATTATTTTTATATTATTACATTTATACCAAAAATATTATTTTACACACACACACACCACAATCGACGATGATACCGGCGCGGGAATTTCCTACAAGTCGGACACGCGTCTCATAATTTATCTATATTTTTTCACCTAATCACCTATTGGTATGTTATTTTATTATAATATAAAATGTAGGTAGGTAAAGGTAGGTAGGTAAATCGTTATTATTATTATCATCATCGAAAAGCTGTCGTCGACGGCGAGAGAAAAAAATAAAAACAAACACACAAGAAAAACAAAATAATATCAAACACACTTTTTTAAAAAAAATTTCATTTAAGTATAACAATAATACTCACTGAAGTCGTTCGGTTGGTCGTTCGACCGGACTAGGGCGGTTTTCGCACCACAGTTTTGCACGACAAGACACAAATTTAATATTTTTTAAAATAAACAAAACAATTCGATGGATTAATTAAAAAAAAAAATCCGGCAACTATATTCTGGCCGAGTTGAGTGGTGAAGTTATTCCTATTCCTATTATTATTATTGTTCAGAGACAAGACGCAGGTCTTTTTTGCGAGAACCGTACGAATCAAACCGCTGCGGCACGGACACTCGGTCGAACCATAGCGCGAATGGCTCTGAAATGATCAACAGTGATCAACAGTGATCTCGCGAGCTCCTCTCAGCACTACAATACACCAACTAAAGTGAGAAGTCTGAACCGGAGCCAAGCAACACACCCGCGGTCGGCCGACCGACCGATCCCGCTATCTTGTCGACCGGTCCCCACCTTTGCCGCCGAAAGGCGTTGGTTTTATTATAATAGCCCAATCGCCACGGCCGATTTTTGACGATTATCAAACATTTCACATTAGTGTTATTATTAATGATAGATGTACACACATATATATGTATAAATGTATAAAAATACAACGCGAAACGATAATAGTATTATTAAGGAAAAAAAAACGTTTCGCAAACGACGCGGTCGGTTTTGAAATCGTTGTGTGTAAACGCATTTCTACAGTCACTCGATGGCAATATATTATAGCAAACAAACGGATAAAGGCCCAGTTTTTGTTTGATACTTGAATATTTGTAAAAAAAAAAAAAAAAAATACTGCCCCCTTTCCCACTATAATAAGTTATGTACAACATTGATGGGTTTACCTATAAAACAACAACCTGATATTAAACAATTTTTAAATCAACGAATCCGAACGCAAGGAACGAGAGACCGGCAAAAGTACGTATGATTCGATTTCAAATTCAATACAATTACGTTTAGCCCTCGTGCAATAAATAAATAAATCAGTCAAATAACGTTTGCCAGCAGGAATGAGAGCAAAATACAGTGTTTTATAGACTAAAATATACGAATTACATGTATTTCAATTAGTGATGGAATAACCAAGTACGGCGACAAAATAAATTGAAATTATATTCCTAATAAAAAATAAAATAATTCTTAATAGTAAGTTTTACATATTTATTGTGAAAATAATTTATTTTGCTGATACACGGAAAATACTAATTATTAGCGAATTTTTTTTGAGTTGAATATAATTCTTTGCCGCCCAAAAACCTAACTTATGGTGTAATATTTTTCGTTCTAAATAATATTATTTTAAATTATTTTACTTGAAAAGCGTTACGCTTTAAGATGCGTACAATTTTATTTTTAATTTCCTAAAACGCTTTAGTATTTATACGTGTTCAGAAGTACGTGGCAAAAGATCTCCGGAAAATCCATAGTTTCACGTAATCTGATGTATAAACCATTTTTTGTCCTCTCCACAAAAAAATCAGTACCAGTAATCAGTAAATTAAATATAATTTTAGTTGTAGTTACAACACACAACGTTTAAAATATATTAACGTCGTAAGAGGACGACACTCGGCCCATTTCTAAGGAGTAAAGTATAGGCAATTTTACACAAAATGTTAATTTTCAGGTTGAACTATATAGTGTATACTTATCAGTACACAGTATTGAGTATACTTGATTGAATGTCATTCTACAGTAATTTCTATGGCATAAAAAACAGTTTTTGAAAATGAATATCGAAAGTAACTGGTGGCTTGCATCACTGTTGTAAGACGTTAGAAATATTTGGTTAGAAAGATATTACAATATGGTCCGCAGTGGTTAATCAACTTATTTAAAAGAAGAATCAAATGTTTTCCCATTATCTGAGTAGCCAAACGTTTAAGAAATTATTAAACATTTACTCAAGAACAATAAATAAATAAAACCTAAAAATCTCTCAAGCAAAACCAACGTGGATATATTTTCAAATTGACGATCCTGTAAAGTTTGTTTTGTTTCAGCTTATGACATTTTGGACTAAACACATTCGGTGTGTTAGTCATTGTAATATTATACTTTACTAATATTTATAATACTATAAGCTGATATTATAATGCATAATAGTAACGATTGTCATCCTTAAAAAATTACAAGGGTAGAAATATTTAAGTTAAATAATTGGCACTGACCACTGATTGGAATTTTTAAACTATTAAGAGCCCACACACTTGTTATGAATAAAGCCGACTAAGTATAACTAATAAGTAATTCGAAATAAAAACTACCTGATTGACACATAGCTCTCACTTGATTATGGCAAATTGTTTTTTTGTAATGAAAAATAATTTGAATACAAAAACACTCTTTTAGTAATTATTAAAGTAACATTTTTAATTTATAATTTTTTTTTCTTGACGAAGACTACATAGTATAATAATCATTTAGAACCACATGCTTGTCCTACTGAATCTTATTTAAAAAATAGTGTGTTCTGATTAGTGCTGGTTTTTGATTGCGCTACGTTTAATGATAAACTAATTATAATTATACACCTAAACCGACTTTTATCCGTCGAGTGGGAGACCTTTAAATTATAATTAATAGGTTTTGTTTTAATTAATCATTTTATCGGGACGGAGCGGTGTTAAAAATTAAAAGTTTAAAGTATTAATCTAAAATTTTTTATTTTTAAACGATTACACAGTTCAACATACATGGCTTGGATGCGGAACTATTTTTTTACCTGATTAATTGCATGTAATTATAGGTATTCAAAGGTCGCTGGTTTCAAAAATTATGTCCATTTTATTCTATTGGCCCTTGTTGTCGAGATAATGCCTATATACTCCATTGATGGGCTCATACAAACATCTAAAAGAGTTTATTTAAAAATTGACATTTAAGAAATCTACTATACACAGGTTGATCACATCCGTGTTATGTCCAAGTCACATAAGATGTGCATAAATATATTTTTAAACTTGATATGTGAATAAATCAACTAAAGTCTACTAGAAATAAAGAAAAAATTCTATGAATTTATACCCAACTTTTTACTATAATGATAAAGGTTTAAATACTTTCAACTGTCGTCTAAAGTTCAAACCAAATTTTTAGAACTTTGTCTTTAGTGGACTTTTGGTTTTAAAATATCTGCGGTTTTGGTTTTTGGTGGAACTTTAATTGATTTATTCACACATCAACGGTGACCTTCAATATTAATTAGTTACGGATAAGACTCTAATTTTCTCTTAAAATGAATGCAATTTTGTAGTTTTTCATTTTGGAAACACTTTAGTTACAACATCAGACATAATTCAAAATTGTATCTTTTTTATTTTTTTCCAGAGCTCTATCAACTTTAAAAACGTAAATAGCAACGTAGAAGTATAGTTAATTTTTTAGATTAAAAGTAATTTGCTAAAAATGTAGACTGGTCCATATCATGTTTTCGGAAATTTACTTTTAAAGTTTAATAACTATAAAAGTAATCATCCAAATTCCAAAACTAGTTATCGACCAGTCCAAATAATGTTCAGCAAATCATTCTTAATTTTAAATGTTAATTAAATATATATGTTATGAAATACAAATACCTCTTTAGTTTCTAATGAACCCCCTTCTCAAAATGTTCATTGATGTACTGTGCAAGATAAATCATTGAAAACCTTTGAACGCCTGAATTTGGACTCAAGTATGTCAAGTATGTCAGTCTAACAGTTAGGGCCTACAGAGAAACAGACAAAACCGAAAAAAAAAATATCTCACAACGAACTAATTCATTCAACATATATTTTGTAGCTAAACATAATTCATTACATTCAGCATTGCATAATTAAGCAATAAGTAACAAGTTTTTATTTTTTAACTAACATACCGTCAATCAGGTAATACAAATTCTAGTATCATACTTACTAGTTTTTTTTAATTTAAAAATAATGTTAAGCTTACTTTTGCAGAACGCCAACGGCTAAATAAGGGTCGTGTTGAATACCCGCTGAAAGATGAATATACTTGAAATACATGTCTTGTTCGAATAAAAAAAATATTAACTTTGAATAATTTTAATGAATAATATCATAAATTAATTTTTTTCGTTCACTTTATTATTGAGTTTAAGAACGCAATGCGCTAAAAGTATTGCATAAATCGATTTACATTACACAGGATATTGGTGTTTTTTTTAAAAAATAATAATGATAATACTAACAGTTATATCTTAAAAGTTTGAACTAAGCAGATTTAATTGAAATGCTTATTTTATATAAACAATTTATCACAACATGTGATTGGAATCATAGGTTATCCCACGAGAACAACAAACCATTAAAGAGCCAATTAGATTAGCGAAGCCGTTTTGCAGCTGTTACGTTTTATTAGGATACTAAAATTTTATTGCATACTTATAATGTATAGTAATTTTTTTTAAATCCAAATAGCCCTGGTTCGAATTTACTTTGAGACCCTCTGGTCGTCCGCAAGACACAGCCAATAAGAATAATATTATTGTAATTTTGCATGAGAATAAAAAAACACATTGTTTAAAATAATACACTGCTTGTTAAATGATATTTCAATTATGTCAAACGCCAAGTTCAACCGTTTGCGTTTTGGACATTCGTCACTTTCTATTCACATCTACACACATTGATCTTGCAATCTTTCAGCGCTTATCTTCCTTACCACAAATAATGCTATATTATATTGCTACTACTATAAGACCTTTATTTATATTAATAACAACACGTTTAATAAGTAACTATTGTATTGTATAGTTTGTTGTTTTTCAATAGCGGCTTTTGTAATTAATTAACTGAAATAAATACTAATTAAAACGATATGTATACATGGGATAACCGATTACTCAGTGCTATGATTACTTAACATACATTCCATTCTTAAGTTTCCCGGCCGAAAACAGAATGTATTTAAACAAATAATGGACTAACCAGAAGAGTATCAAGATTGTGTGTAAAGGCAATTATAGTTAAAAAAACAATACACGTTCACCCTAGTCTTCTATAAATCGTTTAGACAAGTTATTTTACAACAATTTTGATGTAGTAATAATGTAAATGATCGGAACTTTGATGAAATACAAAATATACGAGTTTATATATTTTTTAATGCATTTGTGCGCAGTTATTGCAATGGGTCATAACCTTTGCAATGTTGCAACCGACTTCTGGTTTACTTCAATGTTTTTAAATTTATTAAAAAAATAATTATATTTCACAATTTAGGTTGTACTTATTAGCTACAGCAATTAGACAGTATCTAGATATTATATAAAATCCGCGAAATAACGACATACAGTTTCAATACATTTAAAATAACAGGTAATTTTATTTAAATAGTGTACCTAATAAAATGTATTAAAAACATAAAAAAAACGATTATTGCTGTTATTAATACATGAAAAT